GCGTCCTTGGCGCGTGCGTGGTTCCTGAGCGCCGGAACGCAATTCCAGAATAATTTGTGAGGACGTCGCACGCGAGAGCGCAGTCCTGAGTACATTGTGAGGAAATCTCGGGCGGGAGCGGGGGCCCTGACTAAGTTGCGAGGAAGTCTCAAGCGGGAGCGCCGTTCCTGAGCAAATTGCACGGAAGTCTCAGGCGGGAGCGGGGGTCCTCACTAAATTGCGAGGAAGTCTCAGGCGGGAGCGCCGTTCCTGAGTCAATTGCTTGGAAATGTCAAGCAGGAGCGGGGGTCCTGAGTGAAATTCGAAGAAGTCTCAAGCGGGAGCGCCGTTCCCACGTAAATTGCACGGAAGTCTCAAGCGGGAGCGGGGGTCTTGATTACATTGCGAGGAAATCTCAGACGGGAGCGCCTTTCCGGAGTAAATTGCGCGGAAGTCTCATGCGGGAGCGGGGGTCCTGAGTAAAAATCGAAGAAGTCTCAAGCGGGAGCCGTTGTTGTTGTAGCCCGGGGGGCAGGGGCACAGTTTGAACAGGAAGACTTTCCTTGAGAAAAAACAAGGTGCGAGCCCCGGGGGTGGCACTTCAATCAACAAAAATCAATGTGCACCGGTGGGGGGGGATCATCAATAATTATTCTTCAAGAATGAGAGTTCAAGAAAAACAATTAAAACCCAAGGGAAACCAGGAAAATCAAAGCACCCAGGCAACAAAATCAACGAAACCAACGCCACACACACCAGGATTCCTTGTGTGGATGATTACACTCGGATTCCTTTGTGGAGGGTTACAATAGGATTACTTTGGTGAGGATTTCATTCGGATTCCTTTTGTGGAGGATTACAATAGGATTCCCTTTTGGAGGATTACAATAGGATTCCTTTTGTGAGGAATTCATTAGGACTCCTTCTGTGGAGGATTACAATAGGATTCCTTTTGCGGGGGATTACAATCGGATTCCTTTTGTGGAGGATTGCAATCGGATTCCCTTTGTGGAGGATTACAAGGTGTGTGTGTGTGTGTGTGTATGTGTGTGTGCGTGTGTGTGTGTGTGGCCTTAATTTCGTTGGTTTTTGTTGCCTGGGTGCTTTGATATTCTTGGTTGTCCTTCGGTTTTAACTGTTTTTCCTGTTTTTATGTGTTTTCGGCGCCCTCTCCCCCCAGCGCCGCCTCCACCTCCCCTTCCAAGTGCGCGCTGGGGGCAGAAACCAACAAAAACAAGAAAAACAGTTAAAACCTAAGAAAAACCAGGTTTTCAAAGCACCCAGGCAACAAAATCAACGAAATCGACGCCACACACACACACCAGGATTCCTTTTGTGGATGATTACACTAGGATTCTTTTTGTGGAGGGTTACAATAGGATTACTTTGGTGAGGATTTCATTCGGATTCCTTTTGTAGAGGATTACAATAGGATTCCCTCTGCGGCGGATTACAATAGGATTCTTTTTGTGAGGAATTCATTAGGAGTCCTTTTGTGGAGGATTACAATAGGATTCCTTCTGTGGAGGATTACAATAGGATTCCCTTGGTGGAGGATTACAAGGTGTGTGTGTGTGTGTGTGAAAGCGTTGAAGGTGGGGTGCTGGGGGGGGCTAGCACATATATATATATATATATACACACACACACACACACACACACTCAAGGGAATCAATGTGTTTAGCCTCTTCGGGCCTCCCTGGAGGCCCTTTTGGAGGCCTCCTGGGCCGTCCTGGGCCACCTTAGTTAGAGCCATCTTGGCCCGTGTTGATGGGCTCCGGCCCGTCTTGGTGGGCTCCGGGCCCGTCCGACGCCGACTTGGAGCCCTTTTGGGGTGCTCCAGGGCCGTCTTGGAGGCCATCTTGGGCGTCTAGAAGGCCAGGCCGTCTTGGGGCCCTTTTGGGGGCGTCTTGGGTCGTTAAGGCCATCCTGGAGGCCAGTTGGGCGATCTTGGGGCGATCTTTGAGGGCTTTCGGGCCGTCTCGGGCCGTCAGAAGGTCGAAAAAAAGCAAATACAGCAATCCTTCAAAAACCTAAGGAAAACAAATAATTTTGGCCTCTTCGGGCCTCCCTGGAGGCCCTCGTGGAGGCCTCCTGGGCCGTCTAGGACAATGTTGGAGCCATCTTGGGCCTTCTTGTTTGGCTCCTGGCCCGTCCGACGCCGACTTAGGGCCCTGTTGGGGTGCTTCATGGCTGTCTTAGAGGCCATCTCGGGCGTCTTGGAGGCTTCTTGGGCCGTCTTGGGGCCCTTTTGAGGCCGTCTTGGGGGCCTCTTGGGTCGTTCTGGGGCAATCCTGGAAACCTCTTGGGCGATCTTGGGACGATCTTTGGGGGCTCTTGGGCCGTCTCGGGCCGTCGGAAGGCCGAAAAGAAGCAAATGCAACCTAAGGGGAACCAATGTGTTTAGCCTCTTCGGGCCTTCCTGGAGGCCCTCTTGGAGGCATCCTGGGCCGTCTTGGGCCATCTTAATTAGTTAGAGCCAACTTGGCCCGTCTTGGTGGGCTCTGGGCCCGTCCGACGCCGACTTGGAGCCCTCTTGTGGTGCTCCAGGGCCGTCTTGGAGGCCATCTTGGGCGTCTTAGAGGAGGCTTCTTGGGCTGCTTGGGGCCCTTTTGCGGCCGTCTTGGGGGCCTCTTGGGCCGTTCTGGAGCCATCCTGGAGGCCTCTTAGGCGATCTTGGGGCGATCTTTGGGGGCTCTTGGGCCGTCTCGGGCCGTCGGAAAGCCGAAAAGAAGCAAACGCACAAATCCTTCAAACACCTAAAGAAAATCAATGATTTTGGCCTCTTCGGCCCTCCCTGGAGACCCTCTTGGAGGCCTCCTGGGCCGTCTTGGGCCATCTTAGAACCATTTTGGGCCGTCTGGGTGGACTCCTGGCCCGTCTGACGCCGCCAGAAGATGTCTTGACGGCATCTATGGGCCGACTTGGGGCCCTCTGGGGGTGCTCCAATGCGTCTTGGACGCTTCCTGGAGCGTCTTATAAGCTTCTTGGGCCGTTTTGGGTTAGGAACGGGGGTCCTGGAGCCCTTGTACCCCCATGGAGATATTGGGACGGGCCCCAATGGGGACCTGGAACCCCGGTTCTATACGTATATATATATATATATATATATATATATTTGTACATCCCCGGTTCTATATATATATATATATATATATATATATATACATGCATATATATGTATGTATGTATACATGTACATACATACAGACATACATGCATGCATGCATGCATGCATATATACATAAATACATACGTTAATTAATTCATGTATTCATTCATTCATTACAGACATTACATTCCATACGTTACATACATACAAACATGCATACACACATACATACATCCATACGTACATACATGCATGCATGCATACATGCATGCATACATGCATGCATGCATGCATACATTACATACATACATACATACATACATACATACATACATACATACATACATACATACATACATACATACAGACAGACAGACAGACAGACATACATACATACATACATACACACATGCATACACATATACATACATACATACTTATACATGCATGCATGCATACATACATACATTCATACATACATGCATTCATACATACATGCATGCATGCATGCATATATATACACACATACAAACATGCATACATACATGCATGCATACATACATACATGCATACATACATACATCCATACATACATGCATGCATGCATATATACATGCATGCATTCATACATACACGCATCCATGCATACATACATACATGCATGCATACATACATACATGCATACATGCATGCATACATACATATATACATGCATACATACATGCATACAGATACACATACATACATACAAACATACATACATATACACACAATCATACATACATACACGCATACGTATACACATACATACAAACATACATGCATGCATACATCCATACATGCATGCATACATACATACATGCATACATACATGCATACATTCATACATGCATACATACATACATACATGCATACATACATACAAACATCCATGCATGCATCCATCCATACATACATACATGCATGCATACATACATGCATACATATATACATACATACAAAAATACAGACACACATACATACATACATACATACATACATACATACACACATACACACACATACATGCATACATATATACATACATATATACATACATACATACATACATACATACATACATACATACATACATATACATACATACATGCATGCATACATACATACATACAGTCATTCATACATATATATATATATACATACATACATACATGCATACATGCATACATGCATATGTGCATACATGCATGCATACATACATACATACATACATGCATGCATGCATACATACATACATACATGCATACATACATACATACATACATACATTCATGCATACATACATGCATATATATATACATATATATATATACATGGCCGCAGCCCCAAGGAGGTCCTGTCCCGACCGTTTCCCCGGGGGTAGGCCTTCCATCCCGAACCTGTCGGGGCCTGAAAACGAGCCCCCGAGGGCCGAAAAAAACAGGAAAAAGCCCCAGGCTGGAAGAGAAGCATCTCATCGGAGAACTGCCCCACCTCCTCCCACGGCCCCCCACCCCCTCCCCAACACTTTTTTTCTTGGGCTCGTCATCCTGAGCCGCTTTTGACGGTCCCGTGGGGCCCGGTGAAGATCCCCAGCAGCCGAGAGTGGCCAAAAGCAGCCCGTCGTGACTTGTCTACAACGCCCGGAGGTGCGGCCCCCCCCTCGACCTGCACCCTCCGCGCCGTCCGCGCGGAAGGTGCCGCCGCGACGCGGCTGCGGCGGCCGCCGCGGCCGCCGCTGCGGCCTCGACGGCGGCCGCCGCTGCGGCCGCGGCGGCGGCCGCAGCGGCGCGGCACCTGCCGCGCGGAAGGTGCCGGAGGTGCAGGTCGAGGGTCCCTGCTCCGCCACCCGCCCAGAGGCGGAGGTGGGTGTCCTCGAGCACCTCGAGGATGTTCCCGCCGTGCGCCTTGTACGCTTCCGCCGCGGGCGCGCCAAGCTCCTGCGGCCCAAAAGAAAAACGGCAAGAGGGTCGCGCGCGGGCGACTGGCCCTCAAGGCGTGAGGGCGTGTGCGGGTCACCCAGCTCGACCTCCTCCTCCTCCTCCCCTCCTCCTCCTCCTCCTCCTCCTCCTCCCTCCTCCTCCTCCTCCCCCTCCTCCCCCTCCTCCTCCTCCTCCTCCCCCCTCCTCCCCTCCTCCTCCTCCTCCTCCTCCTCCTCCTCCCGCCTCCCTCCTGCACGCTCCTCCCTCCTCCCTCCTCCTCCTCCTCCTCCTCCTCCCCTCCCGTCGAAAGGTCGCGTCGGTCCTGGGCGGCCTCTTTCAGCCTCGGGGTGCTCTCGCCAGCAGCCGCGCCTCGCCGAAAGCGTTCCGGGGGTGCCCGGATCGGCCGCCGGAGACCCGAGCTATGACCTGAACTCTCGCTGCGGGAAAGGACGAAGGGGCCCAGGGACACACAAACACACACACTCACACACACACACAAACCCTAGGATTCCCCATGCTTGTGAGATCTTCTTGATGTTCGTCTTCCCCTTCCACTTCCTATATTTTGCGCATTGCCCTGGGGATCGACGATGGCTTGTGTCCTTGCTTTTCCCTCTTGAAAGAGGTGAGCACGAGGGGGACTGTACAGCAATTTTCGGCCTCTGGGGGAGCCTCGCCTGACCAGAGGAGGCCGTGAGAAGCAGCTCGGGGGGTAAAGCCCGTCCCGGGGAGAAGGTCCAGGCCTCGTGGGAACCACGCTGAGAGGGAGCCGGAGGGGGGGGATGAAAACAGACAGGAAGGATGGAGAAAGAGGAGGAGGAGGAGGGGCAGGAAGGAGGAGGAGGAGGAGGCGGAGGAGGAGGAGGAGGAGGAGGAGGCGGAGGCGGAGGCGGAGGCGGAGGAGAAGGAGAAGGAGGAGGAGGGAGAGGACCAGAAGAATCGCAGAACGCATCCACGAGGCAGGACGCCCTCCCGTCCCAGCACACTCTGCATCAATCCCTACAGGCACTCCTGGGAACTGCGGGGATCCCCCGCTGCGAGGCGAGAGAATCGTGGGCCTGCCCTCCAAGAGAGCTCCGTCTGAAAAGGAAACGACCTGGATCTTCTTGGCTGTGAGAAGTGCCACGGGGTATAACCGTAAGTTTGAGGGGGTGGCCAGCAAGAAAGAGAGAAAGAGAGAGAGAGAAAGAGAAAAAGCCCCGTTATGAAAAAGCGCCTTCCTCCATCCATGTGACAGGCTCGCTCTACGTTTGAGCCGTAAGAGACGAAGGCCCCGAACGAAAACCACTCTATGAAACATGTCTCGCTCTCCATCCGTGCAGCTGATGCACACGCCTATATTCTGGTGTCAAAATGAACGAGAACTGCAACTCTTAGAACAAAACGAATCGGACGTGCGCGACGCTACGGCGAGAGCCGCGACTTGAAATCGACAAGCCCCCCCGCGACAGGAAGTGGATAAAACATAGTTCGACAAATGTGCGCTGCGCCATGTCGAGAGCCAAGCTTTCAAGAACCACCCGCCCTCCGTGCGTGCAGCTTTTGGAACCTGTGTGTGGCGAGAATGCGTATGCGCGGCGCTCAGGCGAGAATAATACTTTCAAAAAATGACCAGCATACCATCCTTGACACCGGTGGAAGCTCTGAGTGACACCGGTGGAAGCTCTGAGTGACATAAAGATGCGCGGCGCTGATGCGACGGCCATATGAAACGAAAAAAACTGCACGCCCTCGATCCGTGTAAGTGTTAATAGATTCACGATTCAAGATTACAGGTGGTGGAGAGGGTCTTCGGCTAAACGCCCGGCCCCCCCGACCAACACGTCTGGCGGTGGGACGAGTAGAACCACGCATCAGGAACAAAATAGTGGAGGAGAGAGAAGGGTGAAGGGTGAAGGAGGAGAAAGCGGAGGAGCAGCAGCAGGAAGGATGAGGAGGGGGACTGGCCAAAGGAGGGCGACGCCGATACCGACGAGGAGGAAAACAAGGAATAATGGCAAAGAGGGATGACACATGTAGGACAGATGCAAAATCCTCCTCCCCTCCCTGATGCAAAATCCTCCTCCCCTCCCTCTCCAGGAGCATCGGACGATATCGCAGCTCATGACATCGGAGCTCAGGAGGAGGGAAGAAGGAGGAAGAGAGGAAGCAGGGAGGAGGGAGGATGAACATGGCCATGAGAAAGAAGAAGGAAGAAGAGGGAGGAGAGAGAGGAGAGAGGAGAAAGAGGAGAGAGGAGGAAGAGGAGAGAGGAGGAGGAGGAGGAGGAGGAGGAGGAGGAGGAGGAGAGGAGAGGAGGAGGAGGAGGATAGGAGGTGAGGAGGAGGAAGGAGTGGGAGGGAGGAGGAGGGGGAGGGGGGGGAGGAGGAGGAGGAGGAGGGGGAGAGGTAGGAGGAGGATGGAGTGAGGAGGAGGATGAGGAGGAGGAGGAGGACAACGAGAAGGAGGAGGAGGAGGAGGAGGAGGAGGAGGCACCCGTTGGGGTCCTGCCCGTCGGCCTGGTCCTCCGCGCTGCCCTGGGCCAGCGCCATCAGCCTCTTGCGGTCGCCCACCGGCAGTGCGGCCGCCTCGACGACGGCCCCCAGGGAGCGGAGCAGCGACGCGACGCTGCCGCTGTCCACCTTCCGCCGCCGCGCCCGTCGTCTTCGTCGTCGTCGTCGTCGTCGTCGTCGGCGTCGTCGTCGATCTCGTCGTCGTCGTCGTCGTCGTCGTCGTCGTCGTCGTCGTCGTCGTCGTCGTCGTCGTCGTCGTCGTGGTCATCGTCGTCGTCGTCTTCGTCGTCGCCGTCGATCTCGTCGTCGTCGCCGATCTCGTCGTTGTCGTCATCTTCGTCCACTCAGAACCCCCCTTGCTCCCTATCTGCTGCCTCCCTCTCCTCCAGTGCACGGCAAGCTCGTGTCGTGCCGACCCCCGCGTTGGCTTCTGACACCGCGGGGATGTTTCAACCTTGAACGATCGGCAGTTTCCGAAATGTCAGACCGTTAAGCATCGACCGATTCTGGGTCGCCGGCGGCGTTCAACGTTGAACGCCGGCAGCGGGGTCGCCGCCGGTCGACACGATGCGAAACTACCGTACCCCCATTGCTCACTCTCTGCTCCCTCCCTCTCCTCCAGTGTACATCACTCCCTGGTATCAGACTGCGCATAATACGATGGGGTCTTTTTGGGGGTCCAGGTCCGCTGCGACACCCGTTGGCAGATGGAGAGCAGATCAGAACAATGCGAAGGGATGGCTGAGAGGGGTCGGATGTCAGATGTGGCGCGAGCGCACCCGGCGTGCTCCGTCCCTGTCTGCCTCCTCCTTCCCCTCCTCCTCTCCTCCCTTCCCTCCCTCCCCCTCCTCCCTCCCCTCCCCCCTCCCTCCCCCCCGCCGCGCTTCCCCCCTCCTCCCTCCCCCCCCCTCCTTCCCTCCCTCCCCACCCTCCTTCCCTCCCTCCCCCCCCCTCCCTCCACAATTACACAATATGAGTGCTGCTCTCCTCTCAGCCCATGATGTCGGGCTGGTTGGAGAGCAGCTATATCGTATACCGCGCTTTCGCAGCACGCTGAGTGTGGCCGAGATGCCTTCCGATGTGCACTGTTCGGGAAGACTCCTTTCTTCCTTTTTGAAAGCGGTGCTCTCGCTGGTGCGTTTGCAAGATCTCACGATGACGAGAGAGCCTCCGCCCAACGACGCTGTCGCCGCAGCGATGGCAGCGGTGATTGTGAAAACTATCGCATGCAATCAGCACGTGGGATGCCTTTTGAAAAAAAGGGGTGCTATCGCTGGTGTGTGTCGCTGCTTCGAGGTGCTCCGGGGACACTCCTCCGCCCACCAGAGCGATGCCGTCGCTGCAGCTGTGGCAGTCGTGGTGGTCGTATCCCTGCACCAGCGACAGGGATGCTCCCGCTGCGGAGGTCGCCACGCCTCTGTGCGTCCGTCGACCTCCAATGTGGGCGCTGCTCTCGCGGCGGCGCTGACCGTATAGATGCATCAGCAGAGGCGGTGTTCCTCAGGCAGCGTGTGCCACCTGGCCTGCCACAGAACTTCCGACCAACGGAACGGCGCTCTCGCCGGAGCGCTGGCCGGCCGCCACCTGCTTCGGCCCGGCAAGGGGAGGCCCTCGCGTGCCGTGCGTTGTGCTGTGCGGAGCCGGGTATCGGGAAAGAGACCGTTGGGAGCAAGGATGTTCCCGACACCCGACTCTGCGAACGGAGAGGGTTCCGAGGGCTTCAGCGCAGTGGAAACGGGTGGCGGCGAGGGGTAGGACGCCAGATATGGCGCGAGCGCTCCTAGTTTGTCACCTCCTCTCTCCTCCCTTCCTACCCCCCCCCCCTTCCCTGCGACCCTCCCCTTCCCGCTCACCCTTTCCCCCCTTGCCCTACTCTCTCCTCTCCTGCTGCTCCTCATTACCCTCCTCCTCCTCCTCCTCCTCCTCCTCCTCCTCCTCCTCCTCCTCCTCCTGTCCCCACATCTCTTCCATCTCCTGCCAGAGCTCCCCCTCCTTCTCCACCCCTCCTCCCCCTCATACCCTCCTACTGCTTCTCCCTCTCCCCCTCCCACTCCTCCCTACCCCACTTCTCCTCAGTCCCTGCCTCCTCCCGCTCTTCCTCCTCTGTCCACTCCTCCCACTCTTCCTCCTCCACGTCCTCCTCCAAATCCCCCCTCTCTTATCTTCCACTCCTCCGTGGTCCCGTAAGAGGACCGGGGGGCGGAGGTGTGCAGAGACTAGTTGGCGCGACCTGTGCGTGGAGGATGGTGGTGGAAGGGGGGGGCAAAGGCAGCAGGTGGTGAAAATGGAAGGAACTGAGGTGGACTAGGAGGATGAGGGGGAGGAAACGGAGGAGGGGGGAAAGCCTCACCTTCTGCTGTACCAAAGCGGACTTGCCCAACTTGCGCTGCAACATGTTGCTGGCGCGGTTCAGCGTGTCAATGACGTCGACCAATTCCTTCTCGGCAGTGACGAACTCGGAGCTCTCGTTGGCGCGAATGGTCTTGGCTGCCTTGAGCTCAGCCTCTGCCTCCGAGATGTCAGCAGCAAGAGCCTCGATCCTGGTAGTCTCTGATACCAGATCTGCTTTTGCTTTTTCGATGGTGGCCGTCAAATCGTCGATCTCGCCCTCTGCAGTTTGGATTTCGAAACCGAGGTCCTTGGTGCCAAACTTGCAATTATCCATCTGCTCCTCGTACGCCTTTGTCTCCCCCTCAGCTTCCTTCGAGAGCTTCCCCTGGAGGCCAGTGAGCATGTCGATCACCTTCCCTATAGGCGTGACGCCATTGCGGACCCTCGCCGCCCCTGCGCATGGCAACACCGCCAGCAGCAGGAGAAGGGCGCGGGGACAGAGCTGCATTGGTCTTCGGCGAGACGCTGGGGGGCTGCAGTGATTGTCAAACGCAGGCGTGACTCGAAACAGCTGCGGGTCGACGGTGACGACTGCGGCGGTGGTACTACTCCGACAATGCGTACAGTCGGCCTGTATCATAAGGACGCGCGTTGAGGATGCAAAGGCCTTGGGCAACCAGTTCGAAGCTTTTCGAACGGGGCCTGGCTAACGAAAGTGGTCAAGGATGGACCGAGGAGGCCACGATGCAGGGGTACCCTTGGGAAGGCCGCCCATCCTTACTATGCGGGTTGACTGTACCGTACAGCGCGGAACCCCCAGCATCCTGGAAAGCGCTGCTCTCTTGAGCTGCCCCTGACGGACATCGGCAGCGAAACGGAGCGGATCAAACAGTCTCCCGTTGGATGAAAGGTTGGCGTGGGGGGGGGGGCAAGAGTCTGACTGGAATCGGGGCGGTGGGCAAGGCTCCTCCTCGTCGAAGCTGGCGGAGCGGTGGAATCGAAGCGGGTGGAGTAACTACTTGCCGGCGCCCGCTGCCTGCGCGTGCTCCAGGCCGCCTGTGAATGTGCAAGGGGGGGAGGGCTCCGACGTCTCCGCCCAGCGCGCCCCCGCGAGATTGGATCGGGCACTTGCTCCTTCTGTGCCCTGCGCGGTGCCTGTGCCCCACGCCGCCGCCGCCGGCGAGGAGCCGGCAACGAAGCCGCCGCCGGCGCCGGCGAGGAGCCGGCGCGGGCGAGGAGCCGCCCTGCGAGGCGGGCGTGGCAACGCCAGTCCCACCTGTCGCGCCCACGGCCCCGCCCCTTCCCCTGAGTCAGCGGTCCTCGCCACATTTCTGGGCCAGGCTCGGTGGAAGCAGTCCGTCTGGAAGGCAGCGGTCAAGCTCTGATCGATCTCTGCCGCGTGGCTTTCCGCGGCGGCAGCCTTGCTGCATGCCGCGGCGGCTGGGACAGACGCCTCCTTGGCCGCCGCGCCAGCACTGCATCCGATGCGTCGTAGAGACACGGCGCTTCAGTTCGGTGCCTCGTGTGCCCTGTGCGACTGGTGCTCGGCCCACTTTGGCTCCATACGGCGGGTTCGTGTCGTGACGACCCCAGCGTTGGTTTCTGACATCGCGTGGATCGTTCGACCTTGAACGATCGGCGGCTTATCGATTGCCAGATCGTTCCATATTGGGCCGATTCTGAGCCACTGGCGGCGTTCAACCTTGAACGCCCGCGGCGGGGTCGCGGCGAGTCGACACGACGCGAACCTACCGTATGCCCTGTGGGGCGGGTGGGCAGCTTTGGCCCTTGGTGGCTGTGGCCACGCGTGCCACGCGTGCGGCGCAGTCTGGTGCGCGTGCCACCTGCGCTCTCCCAATGTGCGCCCCATGCTCACCGCACGCTCCAGGTGCACCCCGCGTGCTTCCGGGGTGTCCCTTGACTCTGGGGCTCTGGCACTGCGGATGAGCAACACTGGGACGGGGGCCCTGAGATCCTGGCGTTGCAGTTTTTTCACAACCGGCGTTTCCGCTCAATTTCAGGCCCCAGGACCCTCACAGATCGATCCGGCTCGAGAAATGACGCAGACAGATGGGGTCTATGGCTCCAGGCGTGATTTTTTACGATGTTGCACTTTTTCTGCAACGTCGGGTCTCGGGGAAGGGGGGACGGTTCGACGACGGGAGCGTTCCGAGGGGTAAGGTTAAGTCGGGCGTGTCCCCCTACAGGGGGACTTTCGACGAAAAAAAAAACCCAAATACCACAAAATGGCCAAAACATTTAAAAAAACATGATCCCCTGACTATTTTTCCCTACCTAGGCTCTGCCTAGAAGGGTTCTTACTCGGTATCTTAAATAGCCGGGCAGTGGAACGCGCCCCGGGCGGTTCCCCCAGTATCCGCCCCGCGGTTCCCCCAGTGACGTTCCCTTAGCTTCGCGTTGCTTATCTCATATTAGCTTAGCTTATTTCATCTTACCTTAGCTTAGCTTCATCTTACCTCAGTTGTATCTTAGCTTAGCTTACCTTCATCTTAGCTTCGCTGAGCTTTAGCATAGCAGAGCACATCATAGCATAGCATATCGTAGCATAGCATATCGCAGTATAGTATATCATAGCATGGGTGTAATTCCCTACCTAGGCTCTGCTTAGAGGGTTAGCTTAGCTTAGCTTAGCTTCGTTTAACTTAGCATAGCGCAACGCTGTATTAGCATAACATAGCATAGCATAACATAGCCAAGCATAGCATAGCATAGCGCAGCATAGCATAGCATAGCATAGCATCGCATAGCGCAGCTTAGCATAGCATGGCTAAGCTTAAAAGGCCAGGCAATGGGGCTCGCCCCGGGCGGTTCCCCCGGCATCCGCCCCGCGGTTCCTCCAGTGACGTTCCCTTAGCTTCGCGTTGCTTATCTCATCTTAGCTTATCTTATTTCATCTTAGCTTAGCTTCATCTTAGCTTAGCTTAGCTTCATATAGATGCTAGATGTTGCTTTCCTAGATCCTCCAACTCCTAGGTAGGGTCGCACTGGGATAGTTTTAATATGATTATTTGATTATGTTGGGGGTATTTTGTGTTTTTCGTCGAAAATCTCCCAGTAGGGGGACGAGCCCGACTTAAGGGTGAGGCCGGGGAGCGGAGAGGGTTTGGAGCACCTCCGTGGCCCCGAGGCCGGCCTCGACGAGCTCCCCAAAACGCAGGCCACCGCACTCCCTCCAGGACGGCAGCAAGCCGACGTTTCGGCCAGGGCCACCTTCTGTACGACTGCCTGGTGCTCATGCCCTTGTGCTGCCTGCTCATGTATGCTGTACAGTCGGGGCGTTGACCTAAGGAACCCTAAATAAGGAACGAGGCCCCTATTTCCCATAAGTTAAACTTCGGATTCGTATCGAAAACCTAAGGGAAACCTAAGGCAAGCGGCGAAACAATTAAGGAACACGGAGCCCCTCCCCAACGAAAAGGGTTCCTTACTCAAGCCGCTCACTGTATACTAGTGAGTGGTACCATGCCGAAGCGAGCAGGCTCCAGCGCTCGCCCCCGCAGGAACAGGTTGGGCTCTGGAGGGAAGGCGCGCCGACAAGGCCCGGCAACGCGCAAGGCTCTGCGCGGCCCCCGCCACTGAAACGAGGACGGGGACGGGCGGGGGCAGGGGCAGGATCAATCGGCGTCGAGCTTGAAAGTCGGATCACATCGGAATGCGCGTCGAAGCGGGCCGCATCGGCACGGAGTCGGAATCGAATCGGTTCGGCCGCGCCCAGGTGCATCACGGCGCCATGCAAGCATCGGGCTACGCCGGATCGTCGGAGCATCGGAACCGAATCGCATGGAGCCAGCTGAAGCCGATGTCGAATCGGATCGATCTGATCCCGAAATGAGCGGGCCCTGCAGGGCCACAGGGGAGCCACGAAAAGAGAAGAAGCTCGGGGCGGTGCGCGGCCATGCTCCTTTCCTCTCGCCCCCCGCCTCTGCCCGCTGCCCCTCTCCCTGGAGCCCGCTCCCCCGCGCCCCCTCCCTGGCGCACCGCGCCTGGAAACTCTGCACCACGCGCGGCCTCCGTTTGGTTGCCGCGGCCCTCGCACAGGCCGCGGCAGCCAAGGTCGCCCGACCTCGCGCGCCGCGCCAAGCGACGTGCGACGCGCCGTCATCTTCGCGCCGTCGCGCCGCCGCGCTGGACACGGGGCGCCTTCCCCGTCCCGAGCCGCGGGGCTGGAGGCGCGCTCGTCCTCGCGCCCCTGCGCGTGCCCTGGGCTCCGCGGTCCGCGGCTCCCTGCCCCAGCCGCGCACCCAGCAGAAACCCGGCGGGCCACTGGCTTCTGCCCGCTGGCCCTGCGCAGCCCGCAGCCATGCCGAAAACCGCGGCCCTGCGACACGCAGCGCCGCAGGGCCCCGCGGCCGAAGCGTGGTCCGCGCATGATTGCCGAAGCGTGGTCCGCGTCATCCTGTCCGTGGCACGAGCGGCGTGGACGCGAGGGGTCCTGAAGAAAACAGCTACTGCGCCGCGAGGCCTTCCCGGGGACCGGCGTGGAGGCCCGAGTCCTGCGACCATGGACTGCTCATGAATGCAGGCTATAGACTTTGCGCTCGCTGCCGCTGAAAGTGCTGCCGTTGCCTCTGCTGCTGGACGACGACGACGACGACGACGACGACGACGACGACGACGACGACGACGACGACGACGACGACGACGACGACGACGACGACGACGACGACTACT